AGAGGGAGGAAGAGAGAGAGAGAGAGAGAGAGAGAGAGAGAGAGAGAGTTCCATAGCTTATAACATACTTAAACTTGGTGCAGTAACTCTGGACTACACAATGTGTATACACCGATGCAATGCAAAGGAACTGTGGTAAATTCCCAAGTAAATTGCTCTCAGCTTTAGTTCACTACAATGTGGGTTACAGGAGCAAATCTAGTTTCTTGGTGTCCTCTTCCTGGGGAACTCTGGCTTTCATCCCATCCGTATGAGCACAAGTCCATGTTTGTAGAGTTTCACAGGTCTCATCAGGAACTGACCATTGCCGTACAGCAGCTTCCTCCCAAACTGGCTTGCTGTAGCTTGTGCTCTCAGACCCTGTTTTACCATGAGGACCTTCTTCACTTGATAGGAACATCTAACTACTGCAATTGGAAAAACGTTGAGTGTGGGTTTTTTCAGCTGCCGAGCCTACAATACCAGAAGTGTTGCTATTTATATCACAATTCTCATTGTTAGACAGTTACAGCTACAGAAAATCCATACTTTTTTTTCACATTAAATCTAGGCTCAGTCCCTAATGATAATGGCTTTGTTTTAAGCTGGGGACTATTCAGGAAGCACTAGGTCTTGGCTTCCAACAGCTCTTGATATTCCCTGGAATTCTTTCCTTGCTGGGACATACTTTGAGGATATGTTCAATTAAAAGAAATGATCAAAAAATTTAAAAAAGAAATTTTTTAAAGTGATCAAAACTCATTTGAAGCCATACAGTTTCAGATCATTTTTATTTTCTACTCACACAAAAATATTTTTATTTGTAAATATCCTAGGACATTTCTTGGCTAAATACTGGTAAGAAACAATCTACAAGTCACCAAATCAGGATTCCTAAATCTTGCCTGCTAACAGTAAACACAGATTCACAAGGAACGGGACTTTAAAGTCGTCCTAAAGACAGGGCTCCTTTCAAATAAATATCTGTTTCTAAAATTGCACTAGAGTGGGGAAGGGGTCTGGGGGTGCACCACTGCTGATGGCACAGTACTCAGGAGGCAGAGGCAGGCAGGCATCTGTGAGTTTAAGGCCAGCCTTGTCTACAAAGTGAGTCCCTGTCTTAAACAGGGTCCCTGTTCTGTTTTCCTCCTTCTAACATGATGTGCAATGCTGTCTATGTGAGTCTGTAAAGTCACAATTAAGGTGTGTTGCCTTGGGCGTCATTCTGATCACATAGTCCAGTTTGTCCGATTAACAAGAAACAAAACCCAGAATCACATGGACTAATTTATGTAATTCACAGTCCTGGTTAAGTTAGCCCTTTGTTTTGGCTCTGATGTCATGTGGCCACTCCCAGGTTTAAAACTTCGTTGTCTTCCAAAAGTTTGACTGTCAAGCAAATACTTGGAAACATGACACATGCTGTCTGTCCTCTTGACACTCCAAACATTCAGGCCCTGTAAATGGCCAGGGCACTGTGGTGTCAGGATATCTGATCTTAGTTATTAGGAGAAAGCAAGCCTATTAGACACACTAATGTAGGATGTCCAGTGATTTTTAACTCTCACAGCAGATATTTCATCTTGTCCTCTTATTTTTTGTCACTACTCTTTCTTTGTTTAGTTTTGTGTTTTTGTTTCTTTCATTTTTCTAAATTAAAATATAATTACATCATTTCTACCACCCTTTCCCCTCTCCCAACCGTCCCACATAACTACTCCTTGCTCTCTTTCAAATTCTTGACCTCTTTTTGTAGCCTTGGCTGGCTGAAACTTCCCATCTGGACCAAATTGGTTTTGAACTCAGAGACATCTGCCTGTCTCTGCCTCTGGAGTGTTAGTATCAAAGGTATGTACTGGCATGCCTACCTTTCTTTGCTTTGTAATCACCTAAGAAAAAGAAAAGAATCTTCCCCTCAGCCATGTCAGAGCTGGTTTGAAAAGGTGGTACTTAGAGCTCACCCTATAGTCTGAGTTACAGATCTGATATGGGGCCAGAAATATGGATTTTAATTAAACACCCAAGATTATTTCAAGGCCCAGGATCATATACTTTAAGGACATATGAATGTCAATTTATATTCTAATTTGCTCTCCATACCAGAATAAATTTCTTATTCATTTATTTAGTCTACTAACAAAAACTTTTCCTAGAACTGTGGCCAAGTTGGGGATGTCATATTTTAGCTTATTGTTAAAACAATGATATGGGGCAGGTAAGATGGCCTAGCCAGTAAAGGCACTTGTTGTACAAGCCAGGCGACCTGATTTCAGTCCCTGGAACCCATATAAAGGAGGAAAAAACTCAACAGCAGTATATCACATTTCATACCCCATCACACACAATTATAATAAAATAAAATAAAAGATAATAATAATAGTAATAGTAATATACTTTCTCCCAGTAAAACACAAGTATATTTTCAAAGCTTGCAACTACACAGGTGGATAAGCTGTCTCTTCCGAAAGGGACAGTGTGCTTAAAATGGAGGTGAGCAGAGGGTGCCACAGCACAGTCTCCTCATGCACTCATAGTTTGTCATGCTGTTGCTGAGGGGGGAAGGCCTCTTTATAAAGGAGAACACAAATGCCTTCTGACAAAAGCTGACTAGTGTCATCTTCAAAATTGTAGAACTTTCCCTGAAATGAGCATCTAAACAAGATCGTAACATTTTCATTCTGTTGACTTTTGGCCAGGGATCAGGAAGTGCCCTCATACTCAGAGGGGTAGCAAAATAATCCCTTCCCTGTTAGCCTGACAATGCTCAGTTGGTTATTTCAATATGAATGCACAGAGTCTGGGGAATACAAAATAAGTTTAGTTTCCCCTGTCTCATAATAAAGTAGGTATCCTATCGAAAGCTTGCAGTCCTAACACTTGGGAGGCCAAGGCAGGAGGATTGCAAGTTGGAGGCCAAACTAGGTACATAGTGAGTTCTAGGCCCACATGAACTACAGAACAAGACTCTATCCAAAACCAAAAATGAAAGGTGTGCCTTCACAATATAAACCAAAAACTTCTGGTGACCAGCAGAGGCTTCGGACCTTCCCACCAAAACCACTTCAGGCTTTTCCACTGTTTGTGAGTCACCTCCATCTTTGTGGTGCACACAGAAAATGCTAAGCACAATACTGAGGTAAGAGGGAAAGAAATCAAGACACTGTGTTACAGTAATAACAAAGGCTTGAAAACTTCCTAAGGTAGACAGTCAACGTGTTTTCTAAGACACACAGACACCGTGTGTGTGTGTGTGTGTGTGTGTGTGTGTGTGTGTGTGTGTGTGTGTCTTGTTCTTCGAAACCTAAATATAGTTCTCAGCAGAAAGTTTCACTGGACTCTTGGTATTAAATGTAGCAATCAGAACTATAGCAACATAGCTAACTGATGCTTTGAAACCCCGAGGGCTAAAAAGAAGCTCATTAGGCCTTTATCTTGCTTAGAAGAACTGATCCTTGTCATTGAGACAGCCACCTTAGTTAGCAAACAGGAGAAATTTCTTTGCTTGGGTGCTGCATGACAGTGGCCCACTTCTGCTGGCTCCTCCCCTGGAGTCATCTGGAAGAAAGGCATATAAGCCATTTAGATTAACAGAGAAGGGATCTACAGAGAGAAGTCAAAGTGGAGGGGGTGTCTAAGGCCTGGACAGACTCCAGGACAGGGACGAAGGCTGATGAACCACAGCATGAGGCAGACACCATGCTTAGCACCAGAAAGCAGGGCATGTGGAGGAAACAGTCAGTGGGAGGCTTGCTCACATCGAAATCTGTGTGATCCTTGGCCAACTGCAACATTTTCACAGGCTGGAGTTTCCTAATTTGTGAACTGGGAAGTTCCTGGCCTAATTATCTCCTAGGTGGTCAGATGGTATCATGTGTTTGAAAACATTCACAGGCTCCGGAATACCATTTCAATCTCAGTGGTTTGCAGTGTTCCTCCATCCATCATGGAAAGGATGAGGAGTAGGAGGAGTGAACCTCTGTATTGCATCTGGATGGGAAAGAGAATGAGCCAGGGAAAGATCACTGAATGAGCCCTTCCAGGATGACAGCTTCTCCACTTTCCACCCAAAGAGGACCTTACATTCTAGGGCATCTGTCCACTCTGATGAAAACTACTGTGTACTGTATTTCTCCAAAAGTATGAAAGCTCATTTTCCAGCAGAGTGTCCCAGCAACTCTTCATTCCATCAAAGGAATAACACACCAATTCATTCCCTCACACTTCTTATGTTCCAGGTGCCAAATATCATTTATGCATTTAATTCTGATAACCACCATGTAACATATAGATATTCTTGGCTCCTGTTTACAATTAGGAGTCATATTTAAAAAAAAATCCAATCACATATGCAAGGCAAATAAGTATGAGTTTAGATGTGATCCTGGGAACCCAGCTGGAGGAATGCTAAACTTCCTCCCAGGATAGGTCAGTCACTCAAGTTCTACAAACTGAAGCTGGGCCCAGGGAAGACACAATGATTGGGCTTGGTTAATATGCTGCTTATTCCTATTTGGATGCTTTGTGTTAAAACTGGAACCATTCATTCTGTGCTTTAGGAGATGCTTCTATTCAAAGAAACCTTAAAAAAAATTCTGGCTTTATCTTAACAGTTATAATAGGTGTTGGTATTTCATAGTATTCATGTGTGCTTGGAAGGACCAGTGTAGTGAGAAGGCAGCAGCACTGTCCATGTTAGAAAGCCCATACAACTAATGTGGAAGGGGATAGACCCTCAGCGTGCCAGGCTGCTCCTTTCTAACTCCCTGCTCATCCTTTTCCCTTACCCAGCCAACCCAAAGGGTTTCATGTTGGATTGAGTGTCATATGCTATCCTAAGATTTCTTCCCAACAACCAAAAAAAAACAAAAAATAAGTAAATACAAAACAAAAAATGATTTCTTCACAAGGACAAGATATGAAAGCTACAGAGTCAAAAATATATAAAAATGCCATGATGAACCCCAATACTTGGTATGCCAGTCAAAAACTAATTTTAAAGGAGAAAGCTGGCTGGGAAGGAAGCCCCCCTTGCCTAGCTACATAGTGAATTCAGCTCAAGTCCAGCCTGGGCTACATTCAGTGAAATCTTGTTTGAGCCATATTTACTTCCTGCTATATATATTTGTGTATCAAGAGTTAGTTCAATGGAAAAGTCAATTATGACCTGTAGTATGTTCCTTGTTTAATGAAATTAATGTACTTTAGTAACTTTAAATATCTGTTACTGTATCTGACTGTTCTCATGGCTCACCCCTGGGTGAGCTTCCCTAAGCCCAGTTTGGCTTGGAGGTTGATGATCACTTCTCTATGTAGACACTCCATCCAGAAGCCCCAGGAGTTTGAGCAGAGTTTGAAGAACCTGGTTTGACTGTATTGACTGTATTGTTGAGTTCATCCCTGGTTGCTGTACATTAAATGCCTGTTGAGTTGTAGAGGCTTGCAGTTTAGCCCACTGTTAGCTAGGTGAGTCAGTCTAGGCAAATTCAATAACAAACCAGATGTCTAGGCATGTGGATATTGGCCTAACTTTATACAGAATACTAATGGGGGAAATGAAGAAGATCAATATCCCCAAATCAGCCCCCAGGTAGCCCATCACCACAGAACCCATGCTCTCCTCCTAGGCCCCTAGGTAGCCCATCACCACAGAACCCATGCTCTCCTCCATCTAGGTACCGCAGTATAATGCCCACCAGTCCTAGTTCCCCCAATACACCAAAGACAAGTATGGTTTTGGGACTTCCTCTCTCAAGACTTCTTGCTCTATTCTCCATTCTTTAGGTCATTGCCCTCCCCCAGGAACAAGGCTTTAAGGAAACTCCTTCTGAGTAACACTTGTATTTTAAAGAGGGACCTGGCAAGGACACAAACCTCGGAATATCTGTGCCTAATGCTTAAAATGACTCTAGAAGTTGAAATTTGGGGATGGATGGATATTCAGATGGGTATAACATTATAGTGGTTTTAATAAGAATGCCCCCCATATATTTGAAAGCAAGCATAGTCACCAGGGAGTGAAACTTTTCAAAAGCTTAGAAGGATGAAGAGGTGTGGCTTTGTTAGAGGAAGTGTGTCACTTGGTGTGGGCCTGAGGGTCAGGATGTAGAACTCTCAGCTACTTCTGCAGTACCATGTCTGCCTGTGTGCCACCATGCTCCCCACCTTGATAATAATGGACTGAGCCTCTGAAACTATAAGCATGCCCCTAAATAAATAAATGCTTTCTTTTATAAGAGTTGCCTTGAAGCTGGGCTCAGTGGTGTACACCTTTAATCCCAAGCAAAGGCAGGCAGATCTCTGTGAGTTTGAGGCCAGTCTGGTCTACAAAGCAAGTTCTAGGGCAGCCAGGGCTCTTTACAAAGAAACCCTATCTCTAAAAACAAACAAACAAAAAAAAACAAACAACAAAAAAAAAAAAAAAAAAAAAAAAAAAAAAAAAAAAAAAAAAAAAGAATTGCCCTGGTCATGGTGTTTCTTCACAACAATACATCAGTGACTAAGACACATACTAGGCTGTTTCTCAGCTGCTGGCTTCTAAGAAGCCCCACCCCACCCCTGTACATTTAGGATCCAGGCCACCACACTCCTAGTGCAGCTGTCTTCTCACCCCACTTGCTAAATCCTGATTTTTGGTCAGACAAGACTTCGGTTTGACCCAGCATGACTTTACCTTGCATTTAAAACAAATACAGCTAGGCATAAAACACATGCCTGTAATCCCGGTTCTCGGGAGACTGAGGCAGAGGTATCCAGAGCTGAAGACCATCCTGGCCTGGATAGTAATTTCAAGAAGAGTGTAATTACTAAGTGACATAGCGGGACCTTGAATCAAATAACAACAAACATAGTTAGCATGTTACCTAAATCCAACAATACTTTGTTACAGCTTTATGTCTAGTTTCTGAATGGCATTTTGAGCCATAAACCATTTCTTTAAAGGGTAATAAATATATATCAGTATCAAAAAACTATTAACAACAGTAGTTTTAGCAACAGATACCCTGTAAACTGGTTGTTTTTATATTATTTCCACTATGTTTCCTTGTAAAACCAGCAGGACTTGGGATCTAAGGTCAAGATCACTGAAGAGACTGCAACCCCCACCCCTTTGGGAAGTCACAACATGGGAAAAGATGAAATTCACAAGGAATTCAGACACACTTGAATTTTTGGTTTGATTTTTGAGACAAGGTCTCTCTACATAGCCCTTGCTGGCCAAGAACTTGCTCTGTAGACTATGCTGGCCCAGAACTCACAAAGATCTGCCTGCCTCTGCCTCCCAAGTGCTGGGGACACTACCCTTCCAGACCTCTCAGACATGTCTGTGATGGATCAAAACAAGCAAGCAGCTGGGTTCCACAATGCCCTTTTACCTAGTGTTAAATGTTACTGGGAAGTGTGTCCAGCTGTAGCTGAATTGTTCTTTATTTTTTACATCTAAAAGGATACAGAAAACTAGGAAGAAAATGTTTAACTGCTTGTTAGGTCACAACTCTGCGAATGTCCTGTGTGCTTTCAAATACCATTGGCTGGCTTGCCTGGTTATAATGTGTCCAAACTGTGATCAGAATCTACAGCAAACTACAGGATCACAGCTTCTCCTCTTTAGTCACTGCAGGAAGGCTAAGAAAGTGCAGGCCCCTACTTTGTTCTCTCAACAGTTTATCGCTTAAGGCAGAGGATTGATCTAATCCAGCTTCAGTCACCGGCTGTAACTACATTACATGTGAACAAAGAAGGGCCCTGCATCAGATCTCACCACTAGGGACACATTCTCCATACTGTCAGTGCATTCTTTGCCAAATCTCTGAACAAGCACACCTTATATCAAAGTGGCTAAAAGCTTTCATGCTCACTGCTTGGAATCTTTGATAACTAATCAGAAGAGGAATTTTTGAGATAACTCAAATTCAAAGGTTGTTTTGCCATACAGAGCACCTAGCAGAACGCTAGGAAGAGAAGCCACTGTCAAGCCCTCAGCACCAGTAACGCTGTCTGATCTCTGTTAACCCTCCCTTTTCTCCTCAAGTTCGGTTCTTATGATAGGCCTGAGATGCCGATGTCTTATCTTTCAACAGAATTTTTACTGCCATTGCGTATGGTGCTGTGGCCATTGGAGAAACACTTATTTGGGCTCCTGAATATTCCAAAGCCAAAGCCGGAGCTGCACATCTGTTTGCTTTGCTGAAAAAGAAACCAACTATAGACAGCAGCAGTCACAGTGGGAAAAGACCAGTAAGCATAACTAGAGGTCATGTGTTGACTTTCTCAGTACAAGTACTGCTAACATAGAATATTCTAACATCAACCACCGCAAGTTTGTATAGAAGAATCTTAGCACTACAAAGGAGAAAGGATGGGCCCTTCATTCTGGTCAGATTCTCACCTCTACTCCTAAAATATACTTTATGTTAAAAAAATATTCTTTTAGCTTATATGCCCTATGTCGTGAGAATGTTCAATGAGAGACTGATTACTGAGTCAAAATATATTTAGACAGTGATGTTTTGGGTCTTGCATGAATGTTGACTAAATTTCAATTCTTTTTCTCTAATCACATCTGCAAGGTAGTAATGCTTTTAATGTCAAACACAGTTTTTTCATAGGAAACACATTTTCAGAAGACGAAAAGGGCAATTGAATATTTATTAAATTGTACACACAAGTTTAACTGTAAACATTAAGACTGTGGGTATTGAAAAAGAAACAGCTAAATAATTTGAAGATATACTTCTTGATAACAGTCCTATACATTAACTAAGTGTCCAATGTCAAAACCTTTCTGGGCATCTTATATTTAAAAATTAGAGTCATCATTAGGTATATACTTGAAGTTTGCATTTGAAACACACCATTTTTCTCTAGAATTTTAGTAGTAGATTGACTTATATGACAGCTTAAGGTAACACAGTACCAGTAGGGCTGTATAATTAATAAGGTGCTTGTGTACATGGTTGGTAACAAAAATAAAAATGCCTTAACATTCTCAAAATGCAATGCTCAAAGATACATCACAGAAAAATCAAGCATATTTTCTTTTTGGAAGGTAAAGAAGGTGAAATTTTTTAAAATCTTGAAGTTTATATGAGTGTAATGCTGCTTTTATTTCTCTCTAAAAGTTCAAAGAGAAATTGAGTTGTATCACAGCTATGTGTCCTTCAGAACCCTGAGCAAATAAAAACTGAGGAGAAAGAAAGGGGAGACAGGATGAACGACATGCATGACACAGATCACAAATATTTCATATAAGGACTACAGAATTATTCAGGATTTTATTATAAAATATTTCAGATTATCACTTCTGCTTTTAAAAATCTTGGCAAACAAATTTAGTACTGATATATACTAAAGGGAGCTAACAGGCACATAGAAGTCTATCGCATTTTTCTCCAAATCTATATAAGACTGAAATTTTCCATATTTCAATTAAAAAGAATAAGAATAAGGTTTAAAATGTATTAAGGTTTAGGGGCTTTCTAGAACATCTCTCTGTAACTTACCAAAGACACCAGAATGTGTGTCAAATTAATTGCTCTCTCCATTTTCTGTGGTGCTTTAACACTGAGGCAAATAGTGTATGTTTGTAGGAGCAAAATAGAAAAGGAACAAATCAAAACTAAATGACTTCTATTACCCCTTAGATCTGGTGTACATCATGGTAGATATTTTATTCTGCTGTTAGAACATTTAACCACATCTTAGGGTTTCATGCCTTCAACAATAGAATACTATCATCAAACATGGTTTTTGTTTGTTTGTTTTGTTTTTAAAGATTTATTATGTATACAGTTTTCAGTCTGCCTGTATCCTGCAAACCAGAAGAGGGCACCAGATCTCATTATATAGGTGGTTGTGAGCCACCATGTGGTTGCTGAGAACTGAGTCCAGACCTCTGGAAGAGCAGCCAGTGCTCTTAACCACTGAGGCATCTCTCCAGCCTTTTTTTTTTTTTTTTTTTAAGACAGGGTTTCTCTGTGTACCCTTGGCTGTCCTGGAATTCACTCTGTAGACCAGGCTAGCCTTAAACTCACAGAGCTCTGCCTGCCTCTGCCTCCTCAGTTCTGGAACTAAAGGTGCTGGCCACCACCATCCAACATGTGTTTATTTGTTTGGTTATGTTTGAGACAGGATTTCACTTCGGTCACGCAGGCTGGCCTCACACTCAGTGTGTAGCCAAAGTGATCTTTGAACTTCTGATCCTTCCACACCTACCTCCCAAATGCTAGGGTCTCACAGACGTGTGCCACTGCACCCAGCCTGCACAGTACTAGAGAGCTAACCCAGGGCTTCTCAGATACTAAGCAAGCGATCCTCCACAGAGCTCCACCCCTATCAAACATCCTTTGTGATTTTTTATCCTAGGCACATGACTATTAGATCTGAGTAAGGTTAAGGGATTTGTCTGAAAGTCCAACCTTAATCTGCATCTACCTTGATCACAAAAGCCAAAAATATTTTAATGTAATTGGAGGGTGTTACTTGGTGGTAGAGCATGTACTTAGTATGAATGAAGCTCTGATGTCCAAACACCCACCCACACCCAAGGATAGCGAGAGCAAAAAGGGAGAGAAGAGAAACAGACGTGGGGGGGGGGGAGAAAAGGAGGTCAGGAAGGAGAAAGGCTTAACATGAAATTAAAAACAACCTCAAAACTTGAGCCAAAAATAAATAAATAAAACAATCAAGCACCATCTAGTTATAGTTCTGGGAAGGTTTTAAAGAGTATCATTAGCATAGAAAATTATTAGTTTACACAAAAATCACCAATGACTAAAGAGATTGAAAAACACAGAGAAAACTAAACTTTTACCTAAATATTACTGACAATGATCAACTAAAAGTACAAATAGATCAGAGTCCAAAGAGCAGTGGATATTAACTATAGGACATAGTCCAGTTTTCAAAAACTTATACACAGAGTTTCTTATAAGGAGCCAGGCATTTCTGAGTTAAGCAATAAAGGGTTTTTAAAGCTCACATTAAATTAAAAAAAAAAAAGTTTATTTAGAGAAGGTGGCCAACTAGTCAGCAGAACAGGCTGTGCCCTAAACTGATAGACTCTTTTGTGGGAACATAGTCCAGCACTGAAGGCAATAAGAACTACATACATAAAAACACAAACACTGATGAGGTCCAGCCGGCAGCCAGCAGCTCTCCAGAGACAATGAATTTGAAACTGAAATGGTATAGAAACATGCACATTTTACAGAGAGCACTTACCCAGGGTGTGGCCATGGGGGTACAACCTTCCTAAATCCCCTGTAAATACTGCCCTCTTCCTTTCACAGGACACCTGTGAAGGGAATTTAGAATTTCGAGAAGTCTCTTTCTTCTATCCATGTCGCCCGGAAGTTCCTGTCCTTCGTGACCTGTCCCTCAGCATTGAGAAAGGGAAGACTGTAGCATTTGTCGGAAGCAGTGGCTGTGGGAAAAGCACATGTGTTCAACTGCTACAAAGATTTTATGACCCCGTGAAAGGACAAGTGGTAAGATGAATTTAAAACACCTAAGCTGGGGGTTAGTGACAAACCCTTAAATGTGCAGGTAAACCTAGGTTACCTAGTAGAGCAAACACAAAACCAAAAAAAAAAGCAAAACAAAAAGCTTCTGCTCTCTACTCTTGCCTAAGAAAACAGCAGGCCCATATAGCAAAACTGGTGGGAAATTAAGTACAATAACCCAAGGGGTCGTGAGCCTTCCTGACAGCTGTAATTTTTACCCTGGAAGCTGTGGAATTCTTTTTTAAATATGGGCATGAGGGCAAGTCAGTTTTTCTTCTCACAGTATCACTGTTCCCTACCCCTTCTGGCTTTAGTCAGACAATGGTCTCCACTGTTTGGCTGATTTAACTGGCCTTCCACACCCTCCGCTGTCAAGACCTTTTGCAAGGCTAAGGCTTTTTTCCAAATCAATCTCCATTAAGCTGAGAGTCCTGATCTCAAAAAGAAGCAATGTCTTCCTCCTTTGAACCCAAGGATTACATTTGTTGCCTTGCTCTTACCTTCTCTAGCTTATATGCCTCATGTTCTGTGTTCCTATTACCCTCCCCTACCACTCTCTCTCCTCTCCTTCTCACAAAGCTTGCATCTTTCCCTAAGCCCTCGTGGAATGATAGCTCCCTAAAAGTTAAAGGCTGCCATGCTGACCCTGTTCTCCTACAATTTACAGTCTTTCCCCATTATAGATTCTCAACAAATATTGGAAAGCAGAGCTGTTCATAAAACTCCCTGACTTGGTGTCACCTATCTATTTTCAGGTAGCATAAGCACTCTCCCTGCTTGAGACCACTGGGGGTGGCTCCCCACTAAGTAAAAGCGAGGTTTAATACCATCAAAGCCCTTTACTATCTGGCTCCTACCTTCTTCTCCACACTTCCTCTCCTCACCCCCTCCCTCTCTCTGTGTGCTGAGCATCCATTGTTGTTCCCCCACCTACTCATCTCTCAATTGCTGCCTGTGTCTCATCATTTATGGCTTAGTCTCAAAGTCCCTTCCCATAGCCATCCAAGACATCCTCTGCCTCAATCGCTTTCTGTTCTATTACCCTGGCTTTATGTCACCTTCCCTTTCTGAGTCGTTGGTGTACTTAATGTCTGTTATGTAGAACATAAACTATTACCATGAGGGGGGAGTTTTGCATTGTATTATTTCCTCAGTACCTAGAGTCCTGGCATGTCCATCAAACAGCCGTGTGAATGAATACATATGGCTCAGAGTAAAGTGTCTATCTCTACAGGCAGACTTCTTTATCCATATGTGCCAACTCTCCTGCTGGGTATCAGTAATGGAGTGTTGTTATACTTGAGGGGGAGGTTGATCATTTTCTAGGTGACTTCAAGACAGAGTACTAGGTATACTCCAACCCTGTGGTCATTTCTAGAAGTGTATGTTTGGAATCAAGCCTTCAGTAAGCTGTAAGCTAGGAGCTCCTGTCCAGCAGGTGATTTATGAACCTTCCTTTGGCAACATAGACTTCAAAAAATAGCTTGGATTTCTAGGCTTCTTGTTATGGTTTGTTCATGTGCGAATTCCACAAAGTATAATATGACTTGGCTGTCGGATCCTAACAAACTCTCTTCCACTCTTTTCCTGAAGCTACTGGACGGTGTTGATATAAAGGAACTGAATGTGCAGTGGTTGCGCTCCCAGACAGCCATTGTCTCCCAAGAGCCTGTACTCTTCAACTGTAGCATCGCTGAGAACATTGCCTATGGTGATAGCGGTGGCATGGTGCCCTTAGAGGAGATCAAAGAGGTCGCAGATGCAGCCGACGTCCATGGTTTCATCGAAGGGCTCCCCGGGGTAAGAAAGCAGCTGAAATTGTGAATTACAAAGCTGCTGAGTACTGAATTTAATATCATCATACACAAAAGTTAGATGTGAAAAGTAAACCTGATACTTTTATGCATTTCTTTTCTAAGCCTGATAGCCATTCATATATAATGTACTGAACTTTCACGTGTTATATCTTTATGTGGCCTGCACTCTGCCTTGGGTGAGGGTATGAACTTAAAAGACATGGTGTCAAGCTGAACTAAGAATTTGTAGGGGAAATAAAAGTGAACCTTGGGATTTACCGAATTTTCTTCAGATAGATAGTGTGTGTGTGTGTGTGTGTGTGTGTGTGTGTGTGTGTGTTTCTACACAGGGTCTGGCTGTCCTGGAACTTGCTCTTTAGACCAGGCTGGCCTTGAAATCACAGAGATCTTCCTGCCTCTGCCTCCAAAGTGCTGGGATTAAAGGCCAGTGCCACCACCAACAGCTTTCTCTCTTTCTTTCTTCCTTCCTTCCTTTATTTCTTTATTTTTTTAAAGGCAGGATCTCACTACTAGCTGGCCTGGTTCTAACCATGTAGACCAGACTGGCCTCTAACCTACACAGATCCACCTGCCTCTGCCTCAGAAGTGCAGGGATTAAAAGAATGTGCCACACACCTGGCCAAGAATAGATTTTCTAAAGCAAACAAATGTATCTCAACATCTGTCCAACTATAAGACCATGGTAAAACTGAAAAACAAGGCTAATTCCCCGACATCCTCACTATGGCAAAGTGCCACATACAGAAGGCACAGCAGACTCTTCGAAGACATCTAGATTTTACCAATCTTATTTCTCTGGGAAATAGTTAGCAAATTTAATGGTTGCCACCCTGCCAGTCTCTGAAAACTTATTTTTTGCTTTAGTTCAAATTTATGGGTTCACCTATCTGCTGTGTCCTGATGGCTCAAAATCCCCACATAAACAGTTATTAATTTATTTTATTTACTCCACACACAAAGCTACTCAGCCTTGTCCTTTGTCAACCACTGAGCTTTTATTACTTATGGAAGATGACTCAGGCAAAGCAAACGAAGTCCTACGAATATAGAAACCACTGAAACACACTAAGAGCCTGTGCTCAGCTCCCTTTCTTTCCTCACACAACCCAGGACCCCTACCTAGGGAATGCTGCCACCCACAGTGGGTTTGTCTTGCCATCTCAATTAAAATAGTCAAGATAGTTTCCCCATAGACATTCCCAGAAGCCACCCTAATCTAAACAAGGCCTCTATTGGGACTCCTTTTCCATGTGATGTCTAGAGTAGTGGATAATTATGACTAAACATCCAGCAAGCAAAGATATTTTAATCTTAATAAAGTTGCTAAAGACTTACTGAAGGTTTGGGGATAGGAATGATGTTTAGAATTGAATATTTACTCATCTAGCAGCAATGTAAGTGATGATATGGAGTAATGAAGAGATAGGGAGTCAGGAGATCCATTAGGAAAGTTTAGGGAATGAGTTCTTAAAAGTCTACATTCATAAATATAATGTGAGAAAGACAAGGAAATGGATTTGAAAGATTTATGAAAATGAAAGTACACTAGGAATGATGGGGCATGTCTATAATCTCAGCATTCAGAAGGACCCTGTCTCAAAAGCAAAACAAAAACAAACAAACAAAGCAGAATTACTAGGAATTGGCCCAAGATTGTACAAGCAAGAAAAGACTAAGCCTCCCGCTGAGGCAAAACACAAAGCCATGCTCAGAGTCCCACATGGAGAAGGGCAAAAAAACTACACAGAGGATCTTCCTTGGAACTGGGCTTTGAAGACTGCATAGGAGTTCTCCAGGAAGGAAAGGTTAAAAGCATTCTGAGCAGATAGAATAAACACACAAAGCAATATAGATACCTAAGAGGAACTTTGCATACAAGGGAGATCTTACAACACTGATACAGGTGTCAAACAATAAAGGATTGAAGTGAGGCCAAAACAGAGCAGTACTAAGTGTAAAAAACCCCAGGCTAAAGCATTGGAACTTCATCTTAATAGATAGGCATGCTTCTAGATGTTTTTAGACAGACAAATGACATGATTAAAAAAATATATTAGTGTTTTAGGATGGAGAGATAGCTTAGCATGTAGAGGTACTTGCCACCAACACTAAAGACCGAAGTTCTGTCCCCAGAACATACTTGATGAAAAACAAAAACTGCCTTCCTATGTTTGTCCTCTGACCTCAATACAGTGGTACATGGTACACACACACACCACAGACACAAGCACACACATGGTACACACACACACACACACACACACACACACACACCACACTAATTTTTAAGTATTTTATTACTGCTGCTGTTTCTTTTCTTTTCTTTTCTTTTTTCTTTTTTCTTTTTTTGTTTTTTTTTTGAGAGAGAGAAAGCCTTGAAATGTTGATCATATGCTAAGCTCACCTCCTGATTCTTCTGCCTCCATACTTCTCCAGTTCTGAGGTTACAGCCTGTGGCACCTTCCCTAAGGTTGACATTTTTAAAGAACAAAAATCAACTGTTAAAAGTAACCCTTTTGGAAGGCTGCAAGTCTCAAGACAGCCTGGGATGCACAGTTGGAATCTGTATTAAAAATAAAAGCAGGCTAGAGAAATGGCTCAGCAGTTAAGAGCTTAGCTGTTCTCCTAGAGGGTCTGGGTTCAGTTCCTAGCACCTACAACTGCCTGTAACTCCAGTTCCTGGGAACCTGACAAACTTTTCTGACCTTCAAGGACATTGCACACATATGGTTCACAGATACACATGCAGGCACAACACCATACACATTTAATTAACTAATTAAAAATAAAAAACATAGGAGAGCATCAAGAAACCTAGGCTTCTGTGTGCTTTTTCAGGAATCCAGGGAGCATTATGGGTGTGGTCATGTATAAATGTCATGCCAGCACTGAGAGGTAGAGGGAGGGAAATTAGGAGCTGGAGAGCAGTCTCAACTACAGAGCAAGTTCGAGACCCACTTCCTTGAGGCCCTGGCTCAAAAAGAAAAGAAAATAGAACCAGAAAGGCCCCTGGTGAGGGCAGCAGTAGGAACATCACAGAGACACTGAGAGGAGCAGAATGTGATGGTGAACGCTTCAGTGTGGGTGGGACACACATGCCAGCCTCTGTGATTGCAGAAGACACATACCCAGAGGGCTGCATCCTGCCATCTGGGTACAGGCTCACAGAGGATTAGCATGAGAGAGGATACCTCATGTTTTGCCCAGTAGTTTTAAATATTTTGAATTGTTTTGAACCGAAAATGGCAAGTACTATAAATTCATCTGTGTTTACTAAGAACTTTTCTTCATTATTTTTTTCCCCTTGTGCTTTAATTCTAAGGTATCCTTTGCTGGAGCTGGGACTGTAGCTCAGCTGCTAACCTGCTTGCCTAGGATGCACAATGTCCTGGGTTCAGTCTCTAGCACCACATAAGTGGGGCATGCTAGCACTTGCTTATCATCCTGGTACTCAAGAGGTGAAAGAGGAGGGTCAGAAGTTCAAGATCATCAGCAGCTATATAGAGAGTTCAAGGCCAGCTTGGGCTATATGAGACCCTATCCCAGTAAAGAAGATGAAAGAAAAAAAAAGGAAGGGAAGGAGAGACTAGAAAGGAATTCAGAGAAGCATAAGAGCGAAGGTCTGCTCCTTGGGATCAGGTCAGGGGTACAACATGAGATGGAGTATTGACTACTCCATTCACATTTATTTACAAAAGGGACCAAGAATAGATTTCAGCACTTGTTGGGACTCACCTTCTCAAGAGTAGGGAAATCTGAACTGTCTAGATGTCTGTCTCCCATGGTTGCTAAAGTGCCTTCTTTACTAATGGAAACAGAAATACAACACTCAAGTGGGACTGAGAGGAGTGCAGCTGTCCGGCGGCCAGAAACAAAGACTGGCTATTGCAAGGGCTCTTCTCCGAAAGCCAAAAATTTTACTGTTGGATGAGGCCACTTCAGCCCTTGACAACGAGAGTGAGAAGGTAACACCTTCTTCATTTTTTCATGTCAAATAGGAGTGGGCAGTATCATGAAGACCAAGGTCAGATTGGGGAACTGAAGTCCCAGAGGTGGTGGGGAAAGGGTTGCAGCCAGGCAACCAGGTTCTGAAAAGTTTTTCTCCTTTGAACTCATCTCCTATCAAAATGATTCCAAATCTGAATACGTCTGTCCAGGCAAGAAAAGCCCAGGGAGATGGGCTTCTCTAGGTTGTTCTTCTCCATTGGTGTTGAGCCAAGTAGCCTAGTAGTCTATGTCTAAAGTAAGAAGCAGCTGTGGGGAGAACATCCTGCTTATCTACTTCCCCAGAATTTTCTGGGGTTAGAAAAAAAACAAAGTGGTGAGGGGACACAGGTATGGGAATACTGCCTCTTGGCTTCCAGCTTGGGACCATCTCCTTACATATATAACCATTCCAATTACACCCATGATGCCATTTTGTATGAGTAAATATATGTTTCTCTTATTGGTTGATGAATAAAGCTATTTCAGCCAGTGGACAGGCAGGATGTAGCCAGGCAGGAAGTATAGGCGGGGCTATCAGACTAGGAGAATTCTGGGAAGAGGAATGCAGAGAGTGAGTTGCCAGCGAGACGCCATGTAGGTGCCAAGGAAGCAAGTGATCTGGGCATCACCAGTACACCAAGACCACATGGAGGCATACAGATGAATAGAAATGGGTTAATAATTAAGATAGAGCTAGCCAATAAGAAGCCTGAGCTATCGGCCAAACAGTTTATAATTAATATAAGTCTCTGTATATTTTTTTGGGACTAAATGGCTGTAGGACCAGTGGGACAGAAACTTCCATCTATACACCCATTGTCATAAATGCTCTTCCAGCCCAGTCCTATTCTGAGTACTTTTTCTCCATTTAATTGGGAGGCTTGGAGTTCAGAGGTTCAGTCCATTGACATCATGGTGGGACATGGCAGCATGCAGGCAGACATGATGCTGAAGAAAGAGCTGAGAGTTTTACATCTTGGTATGTAGGCAACAGGAAGTGGTCTGTCTTACTGGGTGTGGCTTGAGCATATATGAGACCTCAAAGCCTACCCACCTCCACAGTGAAGAGCACACTTAGTCCAACAAGGCCATACTTCCTAATAATGCTACTTCTGTTAGGGGTTAATTTTATTTTCAAACCACCAAGCTTGGACAGTTTCTATGAGAATAAGCAAGGGCAGCAAAGAACATTGTTAGATTACCTTAATGACTGAACTTTGTCAAACTCATAAACATCTGCCCCAAACTGGCAGTCACTTGGTCCTTTTCTTTTCCAGGTGGTTCAGCATGCCCTTGAAAAAGCCCGGAGAGGGAGGACCTGCCTAGTGGTGGCTCACAGACTCTCCACAGTACAGAATGCAGATCTGATTGTAGTTCTGCAAAACGGGAAAATCATGGAGCAGGGGACGCATCAGGAGCTCCTGAGAAACAGAGGCCCATACTGTAAATTAGTAGCCGCACAGTGTGTGCACTGATGCTGCTGGCGTTGCACACACTCTGATCTCTGTGTAACAGAAAGTGTACTTAGTCATTGCTTGGCCTGCTCGGGTCTCTCCCTGCAAATGGCGATACCTAGACACCCGACTCTCAAGTACCTGCACGCTCTGTTGAAGTATCTTCCCTTCAGATTTTTAAAAACAAATCAGGGAGGCTGGAGAGATGGCTCAGTGGTTTAGAGTATTGTCTGCTCTCCCAGAGGACCAAGGTTGATTCCCAGAATCCACATGATGGCTCACAACCACCTGTAGCTTTCAGTTCCAGGTGGTCCACTCAAGTCTTCTGTCCTCTGTGGGCACCAGGCATGCGTGTGTAACACATCCACACATGCGGGCAAAACAGTGACATACATTTTTTTTTAAATTAGGGAAAAAAAGCAAAGTAAAAGTTTACAAAATTTACCTGGAAAAAGCCCCTGTATCTCTCATTTCATAAAAATATCCTAAAGCGTTTTCTTGTAAACAGCTTTATGTGAAATATAGGCCTTTCTGTGTCAAAGTTCTGTGATGAAATTGGGGGAGAACATCATCTAGTTGAAAGGTTTTAGCTGAAAGAGTAAGATGCAGCCAGTTAGGGCTGTGGGACTGCAAAGACAACTTTAACTGGGAAGACGGTGCTTTGCAATGGGTCAGTATACTGTCTGTGCCTCCCTTTTCTCTAGGCTGTACAAATTTCTCTAAGTGCCCTCTCAAAAAATTCTAAAATTCTGTTATAGCCCCTCATTGGGCAGGAGTGTGGGAGTTCGAGAGCAGTACAGGGTAAAGAGGCCAGTAAGGAGAAAGAGCTCCTGCTTTCCCAGGTAGTACAGAGTTTCACACAGTCATTCCTAAAGATTCCACTCCAAGCTTTGGGTGTTGGTATGAAGCATAAGCTTATATATAAAGGGTGAACACTTACTTAAAAGATACTTCTGTGGGTGAAAAATTAAAATGCTTTTCTGTATTCCAAACAATTTATTTAAATTCATGTGTACTTAAGATATGCAGTATATGATTTACAAATTCTATATAAATAGCAGTATCAGTTAACTGAGTCATGTTTTCCACTTACTTAAATACATATAGCATCCTTAGTCCCTCTCTTTTTAAAGGTTTCTTTGCTAGAATATATTAGTTTTATGTAGTAATAGATTTCATTATGACATTTTCATACATGAATGTACTTTGACCACTTCCTACTGCCCTCTTTTGTCCATTCCATCTGCTGATCCCCATACTTTTCCTAAGTAACCCCTTTTCACTTTTATACTTTTATATCCTTTCATGTTTTACCCAATGAGTGTAATAAAGGTTGTTTTCAGGAACATGGGGGAGAGATTACTTACATCAGCATGGGCAACTTACCCACTGAAAAACTCTCTCTCTCTCTCTCTCTCTCTCTCTCTCACACACACACACACACACACACACACACACACACACACACAAACACTGCAACCACTAACTGCCTATAAACCCTCAGAGAGCAGGAGGCCCTCTCTCTCCCATGACAGGATGTTGACAGCACAATTTTGTGCAGATTTTATGCACAGTTCAACAGTTCAGATGTGCCAGGGCCACAGTAAGAAGGAAAAAAATCTAAACCTGGGCTAAGGAATTGTGGTCATTTGAGTGTAATTGTCCCATAGTCTCACAAGGAGTGGCACTTTTAGGAGGTGTGGCTTGGTTAGGGTGGGTATGGCCTTGTTGGAGGAAGAGTGTCATTGTGGGGGTGGGCTTTGAAGTTTCCTATGCTCAGGACACCACCCAATGTCTCAGTCAACTTTCTGCTGCCTATAAGATACAAGACTCTCAGCTACTACTCCAGCACCACCTCTGCTGCAGGCTGCCATGCTTCCCATTGTGATGATTGATAATGGACTGATCCTCTGAAAATGTAAGTGAGCCACCCCAATTAAATGTTTTCTTTCTATGAGTTGCTATGATCATGGTGTCTCTTCACAGCAATAGAAACCCTAAGACAGGAATTGAACAGAGTTCTCAAAAGAAGAAATGCTAATGGCTAATACATATTTTGCAAGTTTTCAAAATTATTAGCTATCAGGGAAACATAGATTAAAACCACTCAGGAGTAGTTGGAGGGGGCAGTGCAAGCCTTTAATCACTGCACTGAGGAGGCAGATGCAGGCCAATCTCTGTGAGTTCGAGGTCAGCCTGGTCTGCAAAGCTAGTTCCAGGACAGCTAGAGCTGTTACACAGAAAAACACTGTCTGGGAAAAAAAAAATGAAACAGTCAAGCAAACAAAAAACCAAAAGAATTACTTAGAGAGGCAGAATGGCTCTCATCAAGAAACAAATGATGGCAAATGCTGGAGGGAGTGTGAGCTGGGCAGCAACTATGGGAACCAGCAAGGATACTGAAAGCTCCCACTTTCTCCCTCCTCCTCTCCTCTATTTCCTCCTCCTCTCCTACCCCTACCCCTCCTTCTTTAAGGCAAGGTTTCACCATGTAGCCCAGGCTGGCCTCAAACTTTTGATCCTCTTGCTTCAGCACCCCAGTGTTGGAATAACAGTTGTGCACCACTGTCCCTTTTGTTCCTAATTGTATTTTCTTCTGCTTACAATGGCATCTACAACAAACCTCTCTAAATGCTCTCAGTCAATAGTCTGAAAACTCTTACAGAAAAGAATTTGAACAATTTATGTACTATTCCACATTTTTAAAAAAAATACAAAGTGAAAATGGGGTGGGGATTGAGAACCAGAAACCTTGTCTTGAGACATTGGTACTGTCTGCTTTGTGGCTGTTCAGCCCTATCTGGGCGGACAGCTTTTGGTGGCTTCTCTTCCTAAAACAGGTTAGACCATCCAGAAAAGAAATATGATAGGAATACACTGGGTCCTAGAGCAGGGGCAGTCCAGGCTCTAGATCTGTAATCCCCACTGGGTAGGTAAATGCTTGCACCTACTATCCCATACCTATAAATAATAGAAAATCACTTCCCTTTCTCATTGTGGCCCTGCTCATTTTCATCCCTGTTTTATTTCCACTGATCACGAAGGACACACAGGTAGCAATCTCCCAATTAAAGCCACTGCCCTCATTGGACCAGGTAGCTATGCCCCAAATTGAGGTTCCAAACACTTTACAAAGATCTGTGAGGTTACTAGCTGATGAGGACAGAAAGTACATAGAGAGCAGAATTTGCTTTGTACAAGCAACCATGGTTGAAGTGTCTCTAACCAGTGCACACTCTCTATGTGTGCATATATTTGCATGTGTACACATGTGTAGGAGTGAGGGGCATGCATGCAGAGTCCAGATGTCAATACTGGGTATCCTCCTCAATGGCTATCTACTTTTTTTGTTTATTTGTTTTGGGTTTTTTTTTTTGTTTGCTTGGTTTTTGGTTTTTGAAATAGGGTTTCTCTGTGTAGCCCTTGTTGTCCTGAAATTCCCTTTGTATACCAGGCCACCTTGAACTCATAGAGATCCATCTGCCTCAGTCTCCAAAGTGCTTTGATCAAGCAGGTATGCCACAACACCAGGCTTTCACTTTTTTTTTTTTTCTTTTTCAAGACAGGGTTTCTCTGGCTGTCTTAGCACTCACTTGGTAGACCAGGCTGGCCTGGAACTCACAGAGATCCATCTGCCTCTGCCTCCCAAGTGCTGGGATTAAAGGTGTGCGCCACCACCACCCGGCAACATTATTTTTTGAGACAGGCTCTCTCATCGAATCTGGAGCCCACTGATTCAGGTAGACCAGATGGTCAGCTCAGGTTCTTATGCTTGCACCATAAGTACTTTTATAGACTGAGATATCTCCTTGCTATATGCTTCTAAAAATGGTTCTTGAAATACATCACTTTCTTTAAAATGACACAATCAAAACACATTGTCCTCAGTTATTCTAATCAGCTATGAGTTTACAATAGTTCCCAAAGATGATACACAAACTATCCAGGGAGAAAAGCAATCAGCAGTCCTACCCAGCTATAATGACATTGGTTGGTAAAAATGACCAGCCCAACAAGATATACCCAGTGGTGCAACAGTGTATCTTGGGGATAACTAACACACCCATTTAATTGGATTTAAGGCTATTGCAATAGTAGGGAATGGACGTTTGGTACTATAAACCTAACCAACTACCAGTGGATGGTGAGATCATGGTCTCTAAAGAAGAACCTACTTCCTAAACCAGTATAATTTCCAACTGCATCCGAAATATGTATCATTATATCCACAGATAATAATCTCCATATGGTAGGGTGAGAACTAAACTTCTCCCAGCACTCAGGAGGCAGAGGCAGGTGCATCCCTGTGCTTTCAAGGTAGCCTGGTCTACAGAGCTAGTTCCAGGACATCCAAGTACACAGAGCAACCCTGTCTTCAAAAACAACCAAAAAAGAAAGAAAGAAAAAAACCTTAAGAGTAAAAGAATTCATGAAAAAGTTGCAGGTGAATTTGCATTCTTCTCTTTCTTAGGGTTTTCTGAGAATTTGATGATGAAATATGTTTTATTTCTAGTCCTAATCTGATTATTACAGAAATCTACCATTGGTCTGCAGAGAACAGACCTTAAGGTTCCCAACCACGGCTGTTGCATCTGCAATGCAAACCCTACACTTAAGGTTCAGGGAAGGTGGAACAGGAAGACTATAGGAGCCAGAAGACCAGACAATTGCTGTGCGATAGTGTCTTCTATATAAGATAGGGAGGCTGTGCCCATAAAAATCTCAAAACTGTGGTCACCTAAACAAGACCCATATAATGACACCAGTTGACATGCCAATGCAGATGGAGGAAATCTCACAGGGCCAACCACTAGATGAAGAACTATAGGCAATTATTAATAGTTTGAGAGAGGGGAGACTCCATCTTCTCTGAGGATGAACCCTGTGAGAGATTACCCAATGCCAACCAGCCTTAACTGAGTATACAGCTGAGAAACCCTAAATGTACTCAGCAGATTGTATTTCTATATACATATAGCAAGTTAAGGCCTACCAGGCCAAGAGACGAGCCACCCTGCCCA